TCAATCATTTGGTGTCCGTGACTGAAGAACCTGTTGGTCGATGTTGAGAAGAAGACAAAATTCGTTTCCATCAACAGTTAAAAAGAGAACACAACGTCAAAGCCGTTATAAAAAAACGAGAAAACATGGAAACAAGTTATGCCGAAACAGAAGTTACGGTACAACAAATACCAGAATAAAGAAAACTCTAAAAAACTGAGACTTTAACATAAAAAAAGAAAAACTGTGGAATATGAACTCTTTGTTTAAAAGATTTTTGTAGAAGGTGAGTCATTTTGTTTTAAAAGAATATAATCGATTTTTGTTTAATTTTGAACACATCTTTTGGCATAATATGAGAAATATTTGGTTAAGAGAAATAGAATAAGTATGTATTCTTAAAAGAATTGAAATGTTTTGTGGTTGTCTCAAAGATTTTTGTAAAATGCTTAAGACGTCTTCCGTTAATTTTCGGTTTTTGATTAGAGAGACAATCCCAAAATTAATGCTTTATCTTCCTATAAATATGTTTAATGTATATATTTTTCCCGACGATTAATGGGACGTATTTTATGTGTTGAATTCCTAAAAGAAAGGAATATGTAACCCCAGCGGAAGGGTTATGGTCTCATGTTAAGAGCATTATGGACGATTTTTATTATGTATTACCCTCAGAGGTAGGGTTAGCTCAAGTAAGAGCATTGTGGTTGATTTTTAATGTGTATTTCCCTCAGAGGTGGGGTTGGCTTAGTTTAAGAGCAATATGGTAGATTTTGTGTTGTTTGTTTTTTATAGGAAGATAAATCAATTACAAATTTGATGCGTTATAAAACAGAAAATATCTTATTGAAGATAATTATATTTGTTCAAAATATCCATAATCGCTTATCTCGAGTAAAAGCAATTTGACAAGATCCTTGGTCCTCTTGTTGCTGTGATGCGTATTTATTATTTCGTATTGTATTCCGTAGATGAATAGTTTGTAATGACAATTTTATAGAAGAACTTTTCACATACCTTTTTTTTCCATTTGAAGATTGGGTGATTATATTTTTGTTTGTTTGTTTCACAAACTTGTTGGCATTGGAGGAAAATGTAACAAAGGGTGAAGTCTCTGCTGTCCTTTTGACCTAACCGCTGTTTCTAACATCGATATCAATATTGTTAAGATAAGCTACTGCCATATTGAAATGGTCATGTCGGAGAACCCGCCGACCTTTAATTTATTTATTTATTAGTATTCAGCTGTCATCATAATTCTTTTTATTCAATATCAATAATATGTAATTTCATACCTCATCTATAAATTGGTTTAGGTTTCTGATGAAGTCAGTCAGTTAGTTGAGTTGAATAGCTCAACACAGAACCATGGAGGCGGACGTGAATTAAGACGATGGCCATAAAGATTACAATATTATAATATGTATTGGTTGTTATACATGTAGTGTAGTTTAATGTTTGTTACCGTCTTGCTGAATTAAAGAAGTCCAATCCACAGTTATTAGATGATCTGATTATGTTACAGTAGACATCATGAGTACAGCTGATTTGTACCGCAAGTGTATTGGAAATGATTATTTTGTTGTAAAATGTACTTGGCAAGAAACTGTCAGACAGTATGGTCACACACTAACGGGTTACCGCTATCCTACACCGAATGGGATCATGTTTTTCGAGGAGCATTGGCAAAAGTTGATGAACATAGTGCCTGACGTCGAGAAGTATTTGCAGAGTACGAATGTGAAGAAATCAACTCACATTGGTAATGATGCATACCTAACGGTGAATCATAAATTCCCTGGCATCAGCATTCGTAAATTTTGGTGGTGTGAGGAGGAGCGTATGGCCAAGCCTACGCAAAGGGGTGTTCATTTAAGCTTGACCCATTGGGAAATTGTGAAATCTAGTTTCAAAGAGTTGCGTGAAAACAATTTTAGTACCATAGATACTACCCTGGACATGATTGGTGTACGAAAAGAACCGGCCTCTTTATAACGCCTCCATCAAACAATTTCCATTGGTTGTCTGTCGATAACCAATGAAGTGTCTGACTGTATATAGATAAATATAGGAGAACTGCTAGTATTGGCATTATCTGCAACAACATGGCTTCTCCTAAGATATCCGATGTTTCAGTTGATGTGACATTGCCTTTAGGTGACACTAAAAATACAGAACCTGAAATTTGACTACGTGCTGGTTATCTTGGTTTGAAACGAAAAAAGACTTTCAAGATGACCTTAAGAGAGTGGAGGAAATTTGACATCAACAAAGAACTACGTTGTGAAATAGGCACGGTTACGGAAAAATGGTTGACAGATGGTGATACCGGAGAAAACCTTTTCTGAGCTGACTACTGTAACCAGAGTCAAAAGATCGTTCAAACGGGGTCGATATCAGGTATTTAGGTGTTCTCCCAGCTTGTCAGATTGGTGTTTGTTATAATCGAGCCAGACCTGGTGCAATACGCCCGATGAATGTATTTCTGCCGCAGAAAATGAAGTTTAGGATCAACCAGATTGCTACAGATCAGACGTGAGAGTGGGAGGTGTTTACGAGGATGATCAACTAGTTTTTCACGAAGATCTTCACGTAGACGAGGTTGAGAACATTACACTCATACCTGGAGAGTTTGTTAGAGAATTTGCAAACACCTAGACCTATGATATTACATCCTTCATCTGTGAGAAAGACTTCGGAATTAGATGTAGAAATACGACACACCCTTGAGGATCCTGGCTTGAGTGATTCGGAAAAAGCCGAAAGGTACAGTCAAAAAAATCGAGCAGTTGAACCACCAACAACAGGGTGTAAGTGAAAAGTTCCTGTCAAACAAACTGTTGTAAGTGACAAAGTTATAGTCGACGAGTCTTCGCAAGTTATGCCGTCCCAAGTTATATCCGTCCCACCTTTAAAATCAGACATACTTACTACAGTTCCGAAATCATTAAAAACTAAAGTTGGGCTTTTAATAGAAAAATTACACCAAACCCTAAACATCACGTGGGATAAAGGTGCAGTCGCTATTCAGGGTAAAACGTACCGGGTTCAAATATAACAGATCTCGTCAACGATTTGTTACCAAAAAGAAAGTATTTTAATCCAGTAGGGTGGCAAGAGTTGGGTAAGGCATTATCCAGCAATAATTTACCTCAATAATTAAACGCGGACAGATACCATTACATGACTAAATTCACCACCCAAGCGTACGCCCAAGGGTACGTCCGTCTACAAACAGCGCCGACGTTCACCCTCGGCTGAGTTGATGTCAAGTTGATGTGCAATGCCGCCTGTGTATATAATCGATACGTCAAATGGAGTTCTGGATCTTGAATCCACACCTACGCGCCGAAAAACACGTCGGAGACTAGTGTCACCTGACTGGTTACCCTACCGCAACAAATGAGAAAGGGTGTGAAAGAATTTCTGACAAAGATTTACTATGACCCAGAGCATCCTGCGGGGTATGGCGGTCTGTACAAACTTTATAGATATCTTAGACGGAACAAACACACTATACCCCTTAAAGACATCCAAGAATGTTAGCGGAGCAACCTAGTTACACTAATCATGTAACATCCCGGAGTCATCGTACATGGTATCGACCACATCTGACAAGCCGACTTAAGTGATCTATCAACCTTGAAAAATCGCAATCACGGTCATACATTTATATTATGTGTCATAGATGTTTTAAGTAAAATATGCCTGGGTTTATCGCATGAAAAAAAATAAAAACGCCCAAAGTCTCGCCCAAGCATGTATATACATTTTAGAAAGCTCAAACCGAAAACCTCTTGCCCTACAGACGGACAAAGCGACAAAGTGTTTGAACAAATCCTTTCAATTGATGCTGATGAAAAATGGGATTGGAATTTATGTCAGTTAAAATGCGGATGTGAAGGCTTACATTGTTGAACATTTTCAGCGTAGCCTCAAGGGTCGTATGTTCCGTTATTTTACGAAAAACAATACGTATAGCTACACAGGGGTTTTACAAAACTTAGTCAATGATTACAACAAAGCGAAACATCGAAGTATACAAATGCCACCTGTTAATGTTACACTAACCAACCAACATAGAGTTTTAGACATTATTTACAAAAAAAGGGAATCGATGGAGAAATAGAAGTTTAAAATTGGTGTCTTATACGCATATCAGATTCTAAGCACTCTCTTGAAAAAGATTATTTAGGATCCTACAGTGAGGAGATTTTCCATGTATTATCAGTATAATACATTTCCAACTTCATACTGATTCATGTAAATTCATGGCAATGCCAAAGAGACACTTACATTTTCAACCTAAAACAAAATCCAAATTAAGCATCAATGTAAGATATACTTGCTTAGTACCTTGAGTTGGCTCATGTGTAGTTCGTTAACATTATTAATCCAACAAAGCCTTTCGAAATCTTTTGAACTACGCCTTACTATGAAATAAGGGATAATGTCTCTAAGTGATAATGTAAATTGATATTTTATATGTTGAAGCTTATTCTCTAAAACCAAGAATCAATCCAAAAGTCCACTTTTTGTTACAAAAATGGAGTATTAAAGTGCTCTTATTATTACCCTCTAATCCCCTTGACTTAAAGTTGAAATAAGTCTATGCAAGACAATCAAACTTTGTTGCCACAAATCAACCCCTAATCATACAAACTGTTGAATATGTAGATTAAGTTAGAAATTTGAACTTTTAAAGCTTGTATCGAATAATATCCATTATTTATCTCTTTATATATGCAATTTTGTGAAGGAAGATATATGTCACCAGTAAATAATGTATTATACTGACTAAAGGAACTAAAGTTCTTTAACTTGGGTAACAATTAAGTAGATATTAGTGTATTGTTGTTAGATGAATAGGGAATATTCTCTGTGCAGCCTGTCACATAACAAACAAACAAACCAATATCTGAAATCAAATGTTACAAAAGGATCTTACTTCTCACCCAGTTTCGAAGGATTTTTAGCCCTCCCAAATACATATGCTATGTAATTTGTAATGTGTCTCCTACCTGTACTTAAGATTTCCTTCCTCCACTGATAAATCCATAGGGACTAAAGATGCATTAACATTTTCAACCTACAAAATAAAATTCAAATTCAAGTTAAAGTTATAACATAATTAAGGCCTTTCGAAATCATTCTTATTACACCCTACTATGAAATAAATCTTAATGACTGCCAGTCTCTATGGATCGATCTGCCAACAGTTTATTAGAATACCAGTTTATTTTTTTATTTTGCTCATATTTTATATTGTTCATATTGCTATCAAACTTAAAATGGGCAAAATTCATGTTTTATCACATATTAACTACAGTATGCCAATCCTTACATTGAAACTTAGAGTTTATTCTAAAAGTTCATTTTAGTATGAAAATGGTCATCTTAAAAAGAACAGTATAATCCAATATTACACACCTAATTCTCCCACCCTACACACATGTACATATATATATATACCAAAAGGCTCACAACAATGTCACGCTGGTCGTAAACTCATTTATATAAATACAAATTTATAAATTTAAATTGCCGATAGACGGCAATGACACCAAAAATAATAAGATATATCCCTACGTTTTTCTCATTCATCATAATCCCATACTCATAGGCTATTCTGTTTCCAAGGTAAGTACTATTAAAGTAGGCCATTGAACATGAAAGAACAAGAGCTAAGAGGTAAGTAAAATATGCACTTACAAGACAGTAAACCATGTCCCCCTTCAAACAATGTTGACCCAAATTAACCACGTGGGTGGCATACTGCCAATTTCATGCAGGATACTGATCAAGTAGACTTGTTTATCCAGACGCATAACCATCTTCGGTAGCACTTAAATCTCACTGAACAATGCAGAAACCTGAACCATTCACGCTTTCTATTCGCAGCCATGTATATATACCCGTACATGTACATATGTTGTATTGTTTTACACCTTTATTTACGACCTGTATTTACGTTTACTTGATTTTATCAGTTATATATTTAAACGTATTAGTTTGATACATAAAATACTTTCTGAACTGAAGAAAACTGTCAATTCCCTATATACCATACCCTTGGAAACAACTACATTTACGACAAGCAACCAATACCACGTACGTCTAAACAAACACCTGCGATACTGTCAAATCTCAGGACTATCTTTTGAAGACCCATCATCCGAATCACTATATAAGCACAAGTTGAATAATTTTCCTAATAGGAAGCTTACACATGTAACACTTAGTGCAAATGCTTTGCTCTCAATTACCCTTATACTATACCCGCTTCATTAATACATAATCAACTTTCAATTGTTCATCTGAATGTAAGGAGGCTCAAATACAAAATTGACTTAATAGCTGTAGAACTAAGACATTTTGACATCATAACAATTAGTGAAATCTGGCTCGATAGAAATACCACATCTGAATCAATTTCTTTACTTTCTTACCACCCACCTATTAGGAAAGACAGAAATAATCGTGGGGGAGGACTTATTATTTACGTTCGTAATTCCATATCGTTCAAACGCAGGGCTGATCTACAAAACGGTAAAATAGAGTCTATATGGATAGAAGTAAATTGTAACAACCACAAATTTTTACTTGGCAATTATTATAGACCACCCTTATCAACTTCTAGTACAAACCAACAAATATTTAACTCTCTTCAAAACGCTATAACCGACCCCTTGGACAAATGCATAATTTTAGGTGACTTCAATATTGATATGTTAAAAAAATCTAAAAGTTTTATTCACGATGCTATAAATATATTCGACCTTACCAAGCTGATAAATAAACCTACCCATTATTCCAGCAAATACCACACTTCTTTAATAGACTTGATATTAACCAGCTCTACATTACGAACAACTGAAAATGGTGTACTTGACAACTTCTGGGGTGACCACTGTCCGGTATATTGCAAATTGGCATTTAACGTACAAAAAGAACACAGCTTCAAGCGAACGGTATGGAATTACGAAAACACATCGTGTGTTCAATTTTCAAGCTCATTGATCAATATAGCAAAAGCAAATATACCATGCAAAATAGTGACAATTAGGCAACATGATAAACCCTGGATGAATGGCGCAATAAGACGTATGAAAAAGAAAAAAAAATAGATTACCCAAAAAAGCGGTAAATAGGAATTCAGACTCTGGCAAAATTTCAGGAAAATTAGAAATGACTACATAGACAAAAGCAAAAATGATTACTTTGACAAAATAGACAAACAAATTAGTGACACAGAAAACTTTGGAACAAAAACCTGGTGGAAACTTATTAATTCATATACTAAAACACACGCTGCTTTTACAAACGAACCTCCGCCCTTAACAGTCAATGGTAACACGCTGTTTACTCAATCCGAAAAAGCAAATGCTTTAAACTCATACTTTATCAAACAATCACAACTAGATAACACCAATAAACCTTGTTATGAACCCTAACAGCATCGATAAGATTGTACCAAATCCAGAGGAAGTTAAAGACATAATAGACAGCCTAGATATTACAAAAGCCCCAGGACCCGACGAAATAAACGCGAAAATTCCAAAATACATCTCAAAAGAAATCAGTCATCCACTTTGTCGACTTTTTAAACTATCATTTGATCTACACATTGTACCAAACATTTGGAACTTTGCAAACGTGGTCGCTATATTAAAAAAAGGCTCTCCAAACGATTGTAGTAATTATAGACCAATCTCCCTCTTAAGTATAATAGTCAAAATTTTTGAAAAAATCATCCACAAACATGTCTTTAACTTCCTTAGAGATAACTCAATACTGACACCTGTCCAGAGTGGCGTTCTTCCTGGTGATTCTACCATGTCTCAACTAATCGACCTTACACACTTCTTCTGTCGAGCCATTGACCAACATCAATATACTAGAATAGTCTTCTGTGACATCAGCAAGGCCTTTGACAGGGTTTGGCATGCTGGACTCTGTCACAAGCTGGATGCTGCGGGGACTCGAGGAGATCTACTGCTCTGGTTCGTAGATTATTTAAAAAATAGACAACAATGTGTAACCATCAGTGGCACCTCCTCGGACCCCAGAAGCATCCCTGCTGGTGTTCCGCAGGGATCTGTACTAGGCCCTCTTTTATTCTTAATATACATCAATGATATTGTGAACAATATAAATTCAAACATTAGATTATTTGCTGACGATGCCTCTTTATACTTAAAAATTGAAAACCCAGAGGCAAGTGCTGCTACCATTAACAATGACTTAAATCGAATCAGAAATTGGGCTGAGTCATGGCTGGTAACTTTGAATCCCCTTAAAAACAGAGACACTGACTATTACTACTAAACCCCACATAGTTAACCCACCATTATTTATGAACCAGGTACAAATCAAAGAAGTAAGTGAACATAAACATCTAGGTCTAATCTTTCAAACTGACTGTAAATGGAATAATCATATAGATAGCATTGTAAGCAAAGTATCCAAACTAGTAAATTGCCTTCGTTCTCTAAAATATCGATTAAATAGAAAATCTTTAAACATAACTCTTCGTTTATCCTTCCACACTTTGATTATGCCGATTTTATCTGGGATGGGCGCAGTGATTATTTAGCTAACAAACAGAATCCCTACAATTAGATGCAATGCGCACTATCTGTGGGGCGGTAAGAGGTACTAGCCATGCCTTACTCTATAAAGAGAAAGGGTTTGTTTTACTCTCGGAAAGCCGTCGACGTCATAAATTAAAATTAATGTACAAAATTATTAACAACCTCTCTGACCTATTAGAACTGTCCTCTACCCCTATCAATTATACCCTTAGAAACAAAGATAAACTAAAGGAAACCAGATGCAGAACCGAAATTTTCTCCGAGTCCTTCATCCCTTCCAGTATACGAGAATGGAACAAACTTAACGTTGAAATTAGAAACTCTCGATCCCTTGCTATCTTTGGAAATTCACTAAATAAATTAGATACCATCGTGCCATCATATTACTCTACAGGGATACGAAAATTACAAATAATCCACTGTAAACAAGATTATGCTGCTCGAACCTACAAGGCCATAAATTTCTCAGACACGTCGATGATAGCCCTGCTTGCCTCTGTGGTCACATATTCGAAGATACCGAACACTATTTACTCGCATGCCACTTATATTCAGATGCAAGAAAACGGACAATCCATAACCTTCAATATAATCATAAAACAATCAGTTGTCTGTTGTATGGGTCAACAAAACTTAGTCCAGAGATAAACACACTTATTTTCAAAGAAGTCCAACAATTTATTTTCTTTTCAAAAAGATTTAAATCTCCATAAACAACTCTTTAAGTCATTCCAAGCCCTGCACTCTGTATAATCGTCTAAGTCTCTGTATTATCCATGATGTATCATATATGCTCTATATTTATGTAATTATGTATGTATGTAAATATTTATAATGTGTACATGTATCTAAATCAGAGAGGGGGGTTACACATAGCCATAGCCTGTTCCCCAATCCAAATTCAGATTTAATGAATAAAAATATTGTTTTTTTAAAAAAAGAGTATTTACGAAATTTAAAACAAGTTCATCTGTGTCTTCGTCTTTGATTTATACTACTCCATCTCATCCATCTGATTCTCAAGATCTATTATTCTTTACTCCAGCTTATTTTTAATTTCATGGGGCACTAATCTGGTTAGAATAGCCTCTCATTTGTTTATTTCAGATATCAGATGTTTTAGAGATTCTTCGTCCTTTAGAACTGTGTCAAGGAAATCACTTATGCTTGTTGGATTTGAGGATTCGTCCGGTTTCGAGCGCTTATTTCTGTTTTTAGGCATGTTTACACTGGATTTTAGCAGACGATATAGTTAGATGATATTGTGTTCACTCGGGTGAGCTGTTTTCAGGTCGTCTATGATATCGAAGTCAAAAACATCAAAAAGTTCATAATCTACACAAATTTCCGTCAATTTCAGATTAAATGTCTATAGTATGTATCATGACAATATCATATATTAAAACATATGGTCATACGTTGGATAACTAACTGGTAAATACATAAGATACTCTGCCTGTTTCCAACCCGATCTTACTCATCCGCCATCTTGCTGAACATTAATTTGATATTTGTTCACATAATAATTCGTTGCTTTCTCTGTAACAGTTTTAGAATTAAAGTTTATTTTCCCTATTCTTAATACCCCTAATTTAATCGCAGTGTCTTTGCATAAGTGTGGTTCACCTTTTCCATCTATTACGATAAAGCTTACATTTTCTAGCAATTTATCTTGAAAAGTTACATTTCCATACATCTCCAATATGCAAACAGTTTTGTTTTTGTCAGTTTTGAATTCCAACAAATACCTTTTATTTTGCCAATACGTTTTAATTCTTGAGAAACACAACTTAATTTATTGTGATCCTGCTTTGATTATCTCCCTTTCCTAACGAATATATTCTAAAGATTTCTTCATGTCTCTCATCATCATAAAATCGGCTCTTTTATTCTTCATATTCCTCTTTATCAGATTCTTTATTAACTTTTCTCGTCCGTCTTGTATCGGTTTCTCTTCTCTCCCTATTATTTCTGGACATTTAGGACCCTCTTGATCGTCCTCTTCCCCTTCTCTGATTGACACCATGCCCTCGTTGGTAGAATTTAGTTTTACACATGCGCTCAAAGTGACTATCTAGTTTACACTTTCTACATCGTCGATTGACAGCAGGGCAGTTCGGATCAGAATGAAGATGTCCTGTATACCCACATCTACAACAACCCTTATAGCAGTTAGTGGATATGCGGGGCTCATCTCTTTGATTTCTCGGTAAAGGTCTGTTCATTCTGGAATGATGTTCATTACTATGCAGTGATAGCCTATTCACATCATTGCCCAGACCCTGAATGGATTTTGCTTGTCTGTCAGATTCTTCTAAAGCTCTAGAAATTTCTAACACATCTGCCAACGTTAAGTTTGTTCCTCTTTCTAACAGTTTCCGTCTTAAGTCCCGTGAATTACATTTATTAATTACTTGATCTCGAATTTTTGACGAAGTTTCGTTACAATTTGTTCCACCGTATCGTGGTCATCTTGAGACATTTTTCTGAATACAAGTCTTTCGTAAGGCACATTAGACGGGGGGGGGGGGGGCAAAAAATATCATTCAAAGCTGTTTTGGCTCTTTCATATGTGTCATTGATGGACTTATCTTCAGTTAGTGTAAAAAATATGTCTTGTACATCCATGCCTGCAGAGTGGAGAAAGGAGAAATTGAGCTCTCTTTCTGTCTGCACTCATATGTCCCCTGGTTATCAAATATAGGTCAAATGCTCTCAGCCATCTGGTGGGGGGGGGGGGTGGATGGCCGAATGGATAGCACGTGCGCGCTGTATCATAAAGCCTGTCATTGAGTCAACTGGCATGGTTTCGAATCCCCGGTTGTTCGTGACAAGGAGTAGGGTCGCCTGTCCAACCTCGTGGGTTTTCTCCCTACGCGCAAGCGAATTATTGAAATAAAATTCAACCATATGTTAGTCCCGAAATGACCTAGTTTGTGTCGTCTGGACGTTAAACCCCATTCTCTCTCTCTCTCTCTCTCTCTCTCTCTCTCTCTCTCTCTCTCTCTCTCAGCCATCTGGTCCATCTCAATGTTAAATTGTGGTAAACCACTTGACTGTTCAACATAATTATTTACCATCTGAATTTCTAGGTTCTTCTTTACCTCGTCGTCAAATTGTAACGTTCTATTATTCCCATTTATGACTCTATGACTACAAAGTTTACAAACTCCGACAAATCAAATGTCATGTAACCATGCTCTTTTTAATAATCTCCTGGCTCTATGACTAGAGAGTATATATACAAAGTAAGATAACTCTTTATGGAGTTAGGCCATACGTGTACACTGAAAAAAAACTTGTGTTGGATCTCAACACAAGTACTTGTGTGAAAATTATTCTACACAAGTTATGTGTTGTTTTGCATTGCATTAACACAAACTTGTGTTCTTTTTAATGCATTAACACAAATCTTGTGTTTTTTCCATATAATTAACACAAGTAATGTGTACCGTCAACAATTTTTTTTTTTTTTTAAATTTGAACTCCATACAAAGTCTTAATCCGGCGGGGGTCCACAAGTAAGAGAAAAGTATTTTTTACTCAGACATTATAGCCAGACAGACTTGAATGCTAATTGGTGTTAAGATGTCTGTAGTTAAAATAAAGTTGGGCCCAATAAATTGGTAGATCAAAGGCCTGTTGAGCGCTCATGCCCGGTGTGATTTTAACAATTGACTCCAAATGCATTGACAAGAAATTAAGTAAAACTATTATTGAATGTGATTGGTTGATAAAATCAACGTACTATAGGCTACATTTTGTCTGCGATATCATCTCGGTGGAAGCGGACATTAAATGAAGTGATTTCACACTTAATTTAACATTTAACAACGTGCTGAAATGATTTTAGAGCAGTGATATGTTTGACAAATGTAAGCTAATGGTCACATAGAATACAAGACCGCAGGTTTGTGAATATTTATATAAGAAAAATAATACCATGTATGTAATTTAGCATCGATATTGTTTCTCTGTATAATATTAGTATTTCGTTTCCTTAAAAAAAAACTCCAACAATTTAAACCGGAAGTTCATGTTTATAATATGGCGCGGTCAGGAAAAAAATTTCGGCATGTTATTATCAAATCTGTTCAATTTTTCTGAAATCATGCTTAATTAACATTAGTTGTTCGGCGCTACGATGTTGTTCAAATACTTACATTACAGAATCACATTATGATTAAAGCAGAAACGGCTCGACTTGAACCAGCAGGTAAGAATCTGTTTTGAAATTTTATCTTGGGAGGTTGGATTGGCGTTGGAGACCCGATTGGCGGCCATTTTGATTCTTGTTTCATGATTTTTTATATTATAACGATTTTGCCAAGAGTAGACATAAACGCGGGCAAAGACTAGAAAAAAATCTTTTTACACTTTTGTGTTAGTTGAATTGTAATCTAATTTATGTTTTAAAAAACAACCTTAAATCTAATAAGCAGATATTTTCCCCACACCCTCCGTTGTTCAACCTCTGTGAGTCTGTGTAATATTTAATATTATTAGGCCCCAATTTAATATTAGGCCCCAATTTAATATTAGGCCCCATTTTTGCCTGATTCAGTCACAGTTAATAAATAATGGAACTAGAATCAGCCTGTGGAAGTTTCTCTATAGTTTTATTATTTTTACCAGTCAGTGATGATATGGGACTCTTTCCACCTTCCAGCAATAATTATTGAGAATTTACCAAGGACTCCATTGGCGTTGAATCGAAGAAAAACAGGTAAAAATTTCAATTAATTTTTATATTTTCTATTTTTTTTTACCAATGTCCTACAATGATTAGTGTATGTGAACATACAATCCAAAATAAAGTATTTATATGGCACTTACATGCAACAGAGAGAGAGAGAGAGAGAGAAATGACATCCTTACATACATGTACTTGTATTTGAAGAATCAAGTAGTCCATGCTGTGCCTATATGCATACCGGTAATCAACTACGACGAGGATTAGCCTACTCTCGTTTCCACCCTTTCCCTGCACACTGTCTCATTCTACATGTATTAAAAATTGGTATGTTACTGTAATATTAATTATGCACAAACCTACATGTAGAGTTGTTGTAAGATGGGTCCTTATATCTACTTAGCCTACAGACGCTAGGTCGTTTCGGGAAAAAGGACAGGTAAGGTTAAATTTAATATGAATAATTCGCTTGCGGGTATGGGTATTTAGCAAAAGGAGGAAACAAAAGGACCCAGAGATTAGAGAAGGTATGCTTCAATTTAATATGAATAATTCGCTTGGCGTAGGGGTACACGTATTTAGAAAACGGAGGAAACCGAATGACCCAGCGAAAAAAATCAAAAGATTGGACAGGCGACTCTACTCCTTGAAATTGAAACCATGCCACTTAACACAATGACAGACCCTGTGATTTCATGCGCATGCATTACCTACTAGACCATTCTCCCCAGCCCCACCCCATATCGAATAAAAGTATGACTTATTTCAAATATGATATTTACATATAAAGAAAGTAGAGAGACTTCAATCTTACTAGAAAAATACTAGATTACCTGAAATGAAATGGGGTTTAAAGACAACGTCCTACTGGTCAGCTCCGACTGGTCTAATGCATTGTGCTAAGTGAAAATGTTTGTCTGGGCAGCGACACTATGGCCTACTCTCATACCGAATTCAAACTGCCAAGAGAACTTTTATGTGTACGCCAATGTGTACATTGGATCTCAGGGGAAACCACTCTGCAAAATCAAGATGAGCTTTCTCGGTCAACCCCAAGAGATAACCTGTGGCCTCCATGCTAGTGTGCCAGCACCTAATTCACTCAGTCACCATGGCCGTCTTCTAATTACTGCGACAGTGAAACCATGTGACAAACAAGGATTATTAAAATAGACTTTTACGGCTTAGGTAGTTCCTTGGGATTAAAACTTTTGATACATATAGATACATTAGTTTCAATTTCATATCACACAGTTTGTATATATGGTAAGGTAGCTTTAATCGTAAATTACATATCATGTATTTATTTTTTCAGTTTCAATATTGGATGTATATGCAAATCACCCAGAAAAAGATCATGTAATAACAAAAGAAATTATAAAAGAAAAAAATGATGATAGAGCAGCTTTTTCTTGGTGGGTAACTATTCAATTCTAATAGAAAAGATTGTTATGCTATTTTGAAATCTAAAATTCAGTTTAGTATAGTAAAACTGTACACGTCATGTATGAGCAGAGACAGAATCTTAGTTATATGTAGATATCACTGTCTCATCTGTGGCAAAGCAAACCAACACGTGAAACAAAACAAATGTAATTAAATTAACATTTTTTGAATTAATCAAAACTGTCTAGTCAATTTAAGCCAACTAATACATTGCCATTTTTTTTTCAGTTACCCACCTCGGAAGATCAAGTTGGAAAGGGCTATTGATATTGTGGAGACGTTTTCTCACAGAGCTTGCTTATCAGACAAAGACTATGTAAGTACCATGCATATTTGCTTTTTAAATCAGGAACTGGTTCTATACACTTGGTGGGGGGGTTGGATGGTCGAATGGTTAGCACGTGCATGCTGTATCATACGGCCTGTCATTGAGTCAACTGGCGTGGTTTCGAATCCCCGGTTGTATGTGACAAGGATTCAGGTCGCCTGTTCAACCTCATAGGTTTTCTCTGGGTCCTCCGGTTTCCTCCCACTGCTAAAGACCCCTACGTCAAAGCGAATTATTGAAATAAAATTAAACCATATGTTAGTCCCGAAATGACCTAGTTTGTGTCGAGTGGACGTTGAACCTCATTTCTCTCTCTATATATACACTTGGTAATCTAGTTCTTCTTTTTGTGGCATAGTCTAGGGCTATGCCATTTGAAATACGATCAACATGAAAGTCAGCAGGCTTGTTTGGTTGATTTTCTTACAGTTTTGATATATTACTTCAAAACTATAAGATGGATGCAATGTTACACCCTTTCATAACCATTATTATAAAGCGTTCAAATGCATGAATTTGTAAAATATAATTAATATCATATTGTAATAATGTTTGCAATACTGTATTCACAATTGCCTTAGTGGAGGTAATTGGTAAATCAAATGATTATTTTTTCATTATTGTCTTTTTTTCAAGACTTTTGTTCTGGCTTCTGACCCATTGAGGCATAATAATCTACCTGGGTCTGTAACTTGAAAAGGCACAATAAGTATTATGCAAAGTTGAAACTCAATGTGTGGAAAAATAAGTTGTTTATTTAAACATTCTGAACCGTAGAAAGTATATTTATTGCCAACTCAACCATATACCTTCAGTCCTTCATGTTTAAGGGGAGCTTTCGCTCCTGCTCCTCTCGACGCACGTCGGCTTTCCTTGGAAGGAGTCATTAAAGACTCCTGCAAATTAGCTAAATCGCTCTCCTAAATATTGAGATTTTTGTTTACTTTTAAACTGCATATATTCAAGGTATCAGGGGCTTTTTATGGCTCCCGTACAAATTTATAAACATGAAGGACTGTACCTTTTGAATATTAAGCCATCAAATTATTTTATAATTTTGAAAATGAAATGAAATGGGGTTAACATCCTACTGTTTTGCTCATAAATTGGGCTAATGAAGACGGGCATACGCCATAAAGTGTGCTATGAAGGGAATTTTGCCCGGGCAGCGGCGCTACAGCCTACTCTTATATCGAATTCCAATTGCCAAGGGATCTTTTACGTGCACGCCAATGTGTACACGGGACCTCGGTTTTTTGTCCCATTCGAACGACTAGACAGCTGTCCTTGTCAGGTCCTCCGTCCTGTATCACTGACAAGGGGAAAACACGCCGGAAAATCTGGATGAACTTTCTCAACCAATGCAGGGATTGAACACCCGACCTCCAGGCTAGCGAGCCAGCGTCGTACCCACGTGATCTCCTTATAATTTTGAAAAAGAATGCAGTGATTGTAAAAGCTATCTGTTGCATTTGGCCTGTTATTTAAATATTTTATTTTTGTTTTTAATGTTAAATATCCCTCTCAAACACAATTATATTTTAATTCTCTCCAGAAATTTGTGTAAAATATAGACTGTAAATTAAAACTTTCATCTTTTAACTGTTGAGTCAATTTAAGTGATCTAATACATAGTATGTTTTTTTTCTCAGTTAACTACATCAGAAAGATAAAGACAGTTGGAATGGCTATTCTTATTGTGGAAACTTTTCTCATGGAGCTCGATAATCAGGCAAAATGTAAGTAACATATATATTTGTATTTTTAATCAGGAAGTACTTCTATACACTTGCTTGGTAATCTAGTTATTCTTCTTGGGGCAATGCCTAGGACTCTGCCAATCACATCCATTGATTTCCTTCCAGTTGCGATAGGCCCTACATGTATGTGTATTTTTACAGTAAATAGCAGTAAAATAATGATGGACAGTATTTTACTTTCAAATAGATTTCAATAGATTTTAAAGGGTAATATCCAATTTGTTGTCAAAGATTTGTTGTCAATGGAAATAAAATAAGAATGGGTCCAAAAATAATTAGACATTGCCAAGTAAATAGGTGCTGCCATGATGTAGTAGGGAATCTGGATTTGCAGACAATACATGTATGAAAGGGTGAATAGTTGACCTATTATGAGACTTCAGTCCTAAATCTCAAGACATTTTTTCTGACTTCTAACTCATTTGATTTGAGCATAATAATCTGTCTGGGTCTGTAACTGGACAAGACACAATAAGCGTTACGCAAAGTTGAAACCAAATAGAGACTCGGTCTCGATGTGGCAAAATAAATTGTTTATTTAAACGTTGTGAACCATAGAAAGTATTCTTATTGCCTACTTTTTATTTTTTAGGCTGGAACACCATTGAAAGAGTATTTGCTGTATGATAACAACAAGAAAACCCAAGCATCAATTTATTTTATACTTCTGGGAAAGAATGCATTTGACCCAATTTTTAAATATTTATTTTTTGTTATTAATGTTAAATTTTCTTCCAAAACACAATTAGATTTTAATTCTCTTCAGAAATGTATGTATAATATAGCAAGTAAAGTGACATATAAATCACTTAGAATTTGATCAGAAATCATAAAGTATTTAATAGGCATTACTAGAAACCAAATGTAGATCAAATACACCCAGAATTACAAAAAACCTTGACCTACATAAAGGTGACTTTCCCTTGCTTATGAAATGAAATACGGTTTAGTATCCTACTTTTCTGTGTTCTTAGAGTGATTCTGCCCTACACCCTACTCTTATATCAAATATTTCAACTGTCAAGGGTTCTTTAACGGGAACCCGGGGGGGGGGGGGGCAATGATTAACACGCACACATTTGATCAGGAAGTCTGTCATTGAGTCAAATAATTCAATTGTCAAGGGTTCTTCTAAGTGAACGCAGTGGGGGTGGTTTCGATTCCGGGAATGGGGGAGGGGGTGGTGGATGGCCGAATGGTAAGCACGTGTGTGCGGTATCATACGGCCTGTCATTGAGTCAACTGGCGTGGTTTCGAATCCCCGGTTGTACGTGACAAGGAGTAGGGTCGCCTGTCCAATCTTGTGGGTTTTTCTCCGGGACCTCCGGTTTCCTCCCACTGCTAAAGACCCCTATGCGCAATGAATTATTGAAATAAAATTAAACCATATGTTAATCCCGAAATGACCTAGTTTGTGTCAAGTGGACGTTAAACCCCATTTCTCTCTCTCTGTCTTTCGATTCCGGGCTTGTACCCAATTATCCCTTGCCATATCCAACACTACTGACAAGTGGGAACTATGCCGGAAAATCCAGTTGAAATTTCTCGGCCAACACCTTATACTCACTGAACCACTGTGGCTTATGACTTGTGATTGTATATAAATTTTTTGTACATATGATATTTTTTTATTTCAATCCTGTAATCTTGATGCTTTGCTTCTTTTATTTACAAATATTCATTTTGTTTGGGGTTTTTTTAATGAGGAAAATGTTTTACATCATTTTGTTACTCCTGCAAAATAGTGCATTTTTCTTTTGTTAGTTTTCTGTGTATATTAGTTATTTCTATATGTCTCACAAATCACTTGTAGTGTGATTTTGTAGCACTTTTCAGTTTTTGAAATTGTTTCAATTTAGTGCATAATTAATCTTAGTGCTTGGTTTGGATGTTATTAATTAAATTTAGATATATTTGAATTATATATTTTGGAGTATGGGGTAGGGATACTGTGTACATATCTTTATATTCTCAGTTCTTGTTTTGGGGTAAAGAAGAATTTATATAGCTATTTTATATTTTGTGATAGGTAAAGTATGTGGGGTTAAGAACAATTTAAATAGCTATGTTATATTTTGTGATGGGTAAAGTGGGGGTTGGGGGGGGGGGGGGGTCTTTATATATAACACAATATAATTAGTATTAGAATTCTCTGTTTTTCTGTTAACATTTCAAATATCTATTTAGTTTTGATGTATTAATTTACTTTTTCCTATGATTTTATGAATAAATAATAATCTTACAAAAACAAAAAAAAAATTTGTTTCCTTCTTTTATCAAACTTTACAGGTCTAACAGAGCAAAGAGAGGGGTCCTGCATAAAAAGGTTGCTATACTGGATATAAATTGGGGAAAAACACAACACAAGTTTTTGTGGATGGTTATACAAAAGTTTGTATGAAACCACACAAGTTTCAGAAATTTCAACACAAGTTTCAGAAATTTTAACACAAGTTTCAGAAATTTCAACACAAGTTTCAAAAATTTCAACACAAGTTTCAAAAATTTCAACACAAGTTTGTGTTGTTTGATAAATTTTAACACAAGTTTTGTGTTGTTTCAACATTTAACACAAGTTTTGTGTTGTTTCAACACAAGTTTGTGTTGTTAAATAGAGACACCTTACTTGTGTTGAAAACAACACAAGTTTGTGTTGTTTCAACACAAGTTTTTTTTCAGTGTACTTAACTAATATCAATACACTACACTATCCGTCAGCGGTTAGATGTGGAAAGCACAATTGCCCAACAACTCCCCACATCCAACGTGTGACGCATACTCTTTCCTCTACACATTTCATTAGCCTTGTGATCGTCTAGTAATGTTTCTGATTATATTTGTAATTCTCTTCTTTTGGCTAGGACCCCTTTTCACGTTGTGTATTTTCTTACTATCTCAGTAGTTTAGACGTTTATCTACCATGAACAACAATGCAACAGTTCGTTTTGACATTTCACATCAAACACTTGATACATAGGTTACAAGCATCCTCTCTCATTCTCCACCCCAAATTTCGCAGAACGCGTTTACTGACGGGCTGCTACATCATATGGTAGGGTGACCCGTGCACTCTACAGAAAGTTGGTCTCGACACGGCTAAATGTGAACGCTTCAGTTGCGTGTCTCGAACTGATTTCTGACTACCCCGCACTCTCTTTGAGTCGATAAATAGCCATGGCACGTGTAATTCTCTACAAATATATCAACTATTACAGCCGTAAAAAATCTATTGTTTTGAATAACAGTAAAATTTAGCTTCTTGGTTATTACAGCAGCTTTAGAAATTACGTTTGTTTTATTTTTTAAATTGCTTTATCATTAACTGTACCGTTAAGAGCGGCATCTTTTGGTTTAGTACAAATAATATCTCTGAAAAACTCGGTTAAACAGGAACATGATACTAGCAGTAGTTTCATTTTACTTTTACAAGTTTCTTAAACAATTGTTGAGTTGGCTAAAATGCTTATTTCTAAATTCAATTTCTTGTTCTAGCTTTCTGTTATGTTTCGTAAAAAAGTAGTCTTGATTATCCCGACTTGTCAATCAGACGTAGAATGGTCGATAGACTGGTTAAGCGAGACTAATTTCAAAACCAGTTTTCAGTCTATTATTTATATATGATTAATGGTCATAGCTTATTAAGTACAACATGATCGTTTATTTAGTGACTATAATTGTGTAAAACTGATTTGAGGCTTGGCATATATATAAATATTGTGGCGTAATTGTCGAGATATTTGGAGATATTTATTTATGGTGGGTCACCCTACATATGGCTCTCCTACGACCTAATGGGCATTCTGAATCAAGATGATGTCTCTCTAACCTCAACGGTAACTCTCTCTCAATGCATGTCTCCTCTCTAAGAATCTACATGGTGTCTAAAGTCTATATGACCTAAATCAGTCTTATAACATTGACAGTGTCCTTGAGACAGCTCTGTTAATTATTTAACTGGACAAATATTACGTTATTAATTATGATGATTGATTACTAGACTAATGACGCCAGGAACCAGCCTTTTGTGGACAGTAGAAACGTTCCACCAGAAATGTCATTCAATTTGAGTGCGTGAGATATGACTTCTCTACAATATATATATATATATATATATATATATATATATATATATATATGAACCCAATAATTAGTTAAAGATATAATATGGTCGCAAAGACCATATTATTACACCTTACGGCCTTGATTTAATAGGGCTATTTTTTCGAAAAAAAAATTATGAAGTGTGCTTGATTGTGCGTTGAACAACCCTGACATTGCATCACCACGGGTATGATCAACTTTGTATAAAATGAAATTGCTTGCAATTACACATTTTAGTGTACTTTAGTGTACACTTTCTTTGACACCTCATAAAACTTTTCATTTGGGAAGTTGATATGGTTGATACATTTTTGTTATATTTTTGTATTTAGAGAAGAAAATGTGTTCTGTGTTTCAGGATCTGCTAGCAGTTGTTGATCATGGAGATAGCAAAAAATTATCAATGTGGGACACGGAACAGGGGAAAATGATAGCAGATACTTTGGTAAATATAAAAAATATTGCTTTATTCTAATTAAAACAAGGATCCTTTTTCGTTTAATTTGTATAGTTTAAAATTCGTTTTATTAGTTTTTACGATAGTAGGCCCTGGAATAATTTTAAAATAAACCGGGTTCGCTTTGACATAAGACAATGAAATCGTCTGTTTAATAGGGCATTTGACGAGACGTGTCCCGAATTACTGGAGTTGTAGAGAACACAACAAAAGTTAGTTAGTAAATGGTAAAAGTAAAAGTATTATTTTAAACGTTGGATATATGTTTAATTTCAGATTGACACAGACGTCATGTGTGATATAAGCTGTAATCCTAGAATGCCCGAGGTATTTGTAACTGCCGGAAAAGAACATTTATTCTGGTGGAAGGTTAACGAGGCCACAAATAAAATTGTTTCCTACGCACAAGCTAATTATGAGGTAATATATAGACTTAACATGACTTCTAAATCTAATACAGAAAAAATGTTTTGTTGTCATGTATCTCTATCTGTCCGTTAGTAAGACCGTTATTTCGCTTACTGGTTCGACACTTATTGCGTCTGGGTGAAGAGAACCATGAATAGTAATATTTGCCGAGTATAATTCCCCACGTGATCCTGGGAATCCTCCAAAGATGTTTCGTTTTTCGTTAGCAAGTTTTTTTCGCAATAGAGTCGAGGTACTCATGGAGGCATTATCTGCGAACCTAAAGAAGTCTTTATAGGCAAATATATTATTAGAAAAGATATTAATTTCGTCCCTGCGTTGCATCATACAATCTTATGACTTTTGGTAAAGGGGATGGTTAAAGCGGGTGCGTTGCATCATAAGGTCTGCCATGGAGTCAAGTGGCGTGGTTTTGATTCCTGCTTGTACGTGACAATGAGTATAGGCTCGCCTGTCAAACCTCGTGGGTTTTCTCCAGGTTCTCCGATTTCCTCCCACTGCTAAAGACCCCTACGCACAAGCGAATTATTGAAATAAAATTGAACCATACATTAGTCCCGAAATGATCTAGTTTGTGTCCAGTGGACGTTAAACCCCCATCTCTCTCTCTCTCTCTCTCTCTCTCTCTCTCTCTCTTATAACTTTTGATCTGATCAATTTCCTTTCAATTTTAAAATATGATAAATAATACTTCTGTAAAATATGTTATATATTGCAGGCCTATTTACGGGCTAGGTTTGTAATATGTGCCTCCCATACTAGTAAAGGGGATCTTATAACGGGTGATTCAAACGGTACTATTTATGTGTGGGGCAACTGTGGTAATAAGATCACTAATTTTGTAAAACATGGACATGAGGTAAGAGTATATCACAACACAGTTCTATGGATAACAATCGCTATATTATATACACACGACGTTTCAACAAGATTTCACTGGTCGTTATCAAGCATACAAATTACAAATGAGGAAAAAATTGTGACAGTACTCTATATAGGTACATTGCGCAATAATAATACCTAACCAAAACCGTGATTAATTTAAGTGGCAAGTCATTAACAGATGACCAGATCAGTCTATTGTCCCGTGGCTTACAGTTTGTTCCATGTGGTAAACCAAACTATGACATCTACATTGCAAACATTGAAAGAGGTCTTCGTCAGTTAGCACCTGGTGGCAATGTTGATTATTTACGACACCAGATCACCCACCTACTTACCAAGAACCAACAACAACCTAGTAACCTAAGTAAGAAAGAACAACAAGCCCTAAAAGAACCAAAAACAGATACATGTAGGTCTACTTCTATAGTCCCCTCTTATAAAGGCAAAGCGACAGTTATCGTGAATACTCCAGAGTACCAAGCTATGGTTTCCAACCTCCTAAACGACACCAACACGTACAGATGCATCCGTAAGGATCCCACCGAAGCAGGGGCGGATTGGGGCCGGGAACAGGCCCGGGCTCCCGTGTTGGAGCGGCCCCTTTTACTGATCGCGGAGCCCAGACGGGAGGTCCGGTGGCTGTCCCCCCGGGAAAATTTTGAAAAATGAACCCCAGTTCCGAACCATCGGCAGACGTTTATGGCGTATCCCCACACACAGGGTGCAGGTGACTTAATAATTAGTAAATTTGCGGGCGACAGTGTCGGGTGAATCCGATGAAATTTTCGGATGAAATTCGAAATCCCCATTGCAGGATTCTGAATTCAGGCACACACCCAGCACACCCGGCCCAGAAAGTCTATTATACCAGCCCATTCTAGACTCCAGTGATGGCGTGGCGACCCGTTAAAGCCACCGGCCACATACAACATGATCATCATCGCTCCATGGCCGGTCCAATAACACCCCCCCCCCCATATATAATGTTCACCAGAAAAAGTTTTTTTAGACGAATTCGACAAAAAAAAATTTTTTTTCATTTTTTGTCCGACCGGCAAAATCCGCCCCTGCACCGAAGCCCATTTGAAGAAACATGAAGCACTCCTTTAAAAAAAAAATTAAAAGAGCAAAACCCAAATTAAAGCTGATGTATATTACCAGTTGATACCTAACCACCCACGACCACCGTATGCAAGAGCAACAATTAAAATCCATAAGAATCCCATGAAAGCGAGTCTACTAATATGTTCTAAAGACTCAGTATATTATAATACCGTAAAATACTTGTCAAAGCTACTGTCACCATTAGGGAAATCATCTTCGTTTATCAAAGATTCAAGCGATCAGTGTCAAAACCTGAAAACCATCCAAAACCCTGGCCAAATGATACCCTATGATGTAGTTGATTTATTCACTAATGTACCACGGAAAGAAGCCTTAGAAACTATTTGGAATCAACTACAACGACTGGACTCTCCAATTCACCCCACCCTCTCAACTGAAACCATCATACTTCTTATTGAAGAATGTATTAATTCCACATATTTTACTTGGGGAGACGACTACTACCAACAGTTATATGGTTTACCGATGGGCAGCCCATTATCCCCCTTAATAAGTGAAATTTTCATGTCAGCTTTTGAAGAAACAGCATTAGAATCCTCCCCTATCAAACCCTGCAGCCCTTCTACAACACCTCAACAGCCAGCATATAAGAATCCAATTTACGATAGAAACAGAAGAAAAGCACAGCCTCCCGTTTCTGGATATATACATTACTAATGACGGTGGCAATCTTAAGACATTCGTGTTCCGAAAACCGACACACACCGACCAATACATTCATTTCAAATCGAACCAACCTACCAGTAACAAAATATCTACCATTTCCACTCTAACTAGACGTGCAATTAGTATCTGTAATGACGAAAACTTACCAGCTGAAATCCAACATTTTAAAACTGTTTTTACCACCCTGTACAACCTGTTACCAGCGTTATCAATAAAATCCTACATGAACAGAATAAACCAAATAAACCAAAACCAGATCAACCACCAATAAGACTATTTATCCCATTTAATGGTAAACTCACATACCAAATCCAACGTTTATTGAAACAGCAAGCTGGAACAGAAACCATATTTACTAAAAATGAAACGATTAAAGATCACCTGCGGGCGAATGGCAAACTGAATCCCACTCCCCTCTTCCACCAAAAGGTTGCGTTTACAAAATAGATTGTTAATGTGGAGAGACATATGTCGGCGAAACGAAAAGACCTCTGAATGTAATATTGGTTGAACACAAATCTAAAGCTGTCTCGAATAAATCAGCCGTAGCTGCACACCTTAAAGCTAACAGACAACACAGCATTAATTGGTCAGATGTAACAATTTTAGAGAGAAATCACGTAAACAAGAAAACAAGACGGATACTAGAAGCTATCCACATTTTGAGAACAACCAAGTAAAACTAATTTCAAAACGTTACATAATAATCTAAAATCTCAAATCTCAAATCAGGAAATGCATAGTAGCTTGGTCTGATAAATTTCGTGCGCCTTTAGAATCTTTTGGAGAATGGAAAAACACTGTTTTTGATCTCTTGTCAAAGAGAATCAAATATATAAAACTTAACCCAAGTCACCTGCCACCCGAAGTCCTAAATAATACACCCGCAGTTGAATGTCTTGCCTCTCTTCAAGAGAGATTTGTTCTATGGAATGTCGATAAGGCCAGCAATAATATTGCCTTTATCTGTAAAAAATACTATATTAGAAATATTCTCACTGAAATGCATTACGGATATTTTACATAACCAATATACCTTTAACAGGAGTAATGCTATTACAGACAATGTGAAAATAGATGCACTACCTTACATTTATTCTATACCTAAATTCCATAAAAACCCAGTAAAATTCAGATATATAATATCCTCCAGTATCTGCCAAACGAAACCATTAGCTAAGACTATCACCAAAGGACTTAATTTATGCCAAACCCAACATGCCATTTGGTGCAGAATACTTCGTAGCTATATTGGAATTAATAGTTTTTTCATAATTGATAAAAATAAACCTATAGTAGACACTTTAGAAAAAATCAATAAAAAAGTTAATGAAAAAACAATAGAAACGTTCGATTGTTCTACTTTGTACACTATGCTTCAACATGCAGATCTTAAAGATAATTTGGATTGGTTTGTAGATAAAGCCTTTAATGGAGCTTTCGGGAAAGGCAGAAACTTGATGGCCATAAATGGATTATAAAACGCCGCAATGCCGACACTGTAGTTTTTGATAAAGAAAAATTTCAAAACATCATACATTTCCTCATTGACAATGCCATACTGGAGGTTGGGGATAAGATAATACAGCAAACCATTTGTTTACCAATGGGAACTGACCCCGCCCCATTTATGGCAAATGCACATTTATATAAATATGAATTCTACTTTCAAGACCATAAAAGAAAAACAGATTACAAAGTAGCTAAACTATACCTTCCGATACATTGATGACATAACACCTATCAATGAAATTTCATAACACCTATCAACGGAAATTTCAACAAATATAAAAGTGAAATATATCCTCCTGAACTAATATTAAATAAAGAAAATTCCGGCACTATAAATGCATCTGTTCTTGACCTGGACATCAATATAATTAACAATAAATTTAATGTCGGTATTTTCGACAAAACGGACAAATTTGGTTTTGAAGTAGTAAAATACCCGCCAATCTATAGTAACATACCAGATACCACGCTATATAGTGTTTTCTATTCACAGGCATTACGATTTTTGACAATATGTAACAATAAAGAACTATTTCTCTCCCGAATAATATCTCTTTACTTTAAATGCACTACCAAAGGCGGTACACAATTACCCATTTTAAAAGAAATTTCGAAACTTCCATTTCTTCAACATACCAAGTTTGGCATTTCTTATTAGTATATAACCGACTACATATTGGATAATGATCCAATTTAAATTTTATTTTGAATTTTCTGTAGTTACCTAACCCTGTCTGAATTACCTCCCTTATTTTTATGCCTTTATAAATACACTTACATAGTACGATTTCTTCAGCATACCTGTTTTGCATTTCTTGTGTGGGGTATTATATTAATATATTATAAATTGTACAATTACACAATTTAATAATTCCGATTAGTCGCTAAAACTTATAGTTTTTAAGCTTTTAACGTTATTTTATCTGGATTATCGCCCTTTTTATTGTGATTTTTTTATCACCTTCTAAGATATGACGTCATTCCCAAAATAACATCACGCCACTCAGTCAGCAGACGGCTGTCTTTCGAGACAGTCTACATTTTCTATTTGCTTCTTTGTATTCAGTTTTGTTTTTGTTTTTGTGACGATGGAACATGTGCCCTATGTATTGAATACTGAAACGTTTCTCTATTGATTTTAGAGCATTTAGGTTTAGACTACTTTTTTTATACATTTCACCGATGTGGTTACTTGTATAGTTGAATTTTACTACATATGCTTAAATTCGTATTTCGTTTAGCATATAGCCGATCATGACTCATGCTGGCATTACACAATGATTTCTTTGGGTTGTATTCCTGATATCTACCTACCCAAAGCTTATGACCCTTTAATTTTAAGTAAAAATTAATGCCAGGAACTGTTTCACGTCATAAAATATACTATCTTTTAGCCTTACCTAATTTCAAATAAGTTCCTAGTAAGCAGTGATATGTATACGATGTAACTAGATCCATCATTTATCTTTACGTACATTATGTAATACTACATGTATTCCATGTCACAATGCAAATAAGTCAAATATGAATATCATAATAATTAAGGTGTTTTTCACCATTCACTCTAAGCTTTTTGATGTCCAGAGATATATCTTATGGCTTCACCTAGTAGGTTTCACCCATCATCTATGTTTTCATTAATTCCTCTTTAATTCCTTATCCGCTGTTGTTACTATACTATGTGTTATCATAATTACATCTGAGTATAATTACTTTGATAACCAATAAAGATAGGGTTTCATTATTATTGTTCAATGTACCTATATATATAACACTGTCACAATTTTTCCTCATTTGTAATTTGTATGCTTGATAACGATCAGTGAAATCTTGTTGAAACGTCGTGTGTATATAATATAGTGATTGTTATCCATAGAACTGTGTTGTGTTACATTATATTCAATCGCTAAATGCCATTCAAAGATTATATGAGGTAAGAGTGTTTATTTATTTTATGTTTTGAATAAATCATATCTGGATGTCAGATAAATCGAGCAACTTATTATATTGTAAACTAGTATAATTGTTTTTGTAGGGTCCAGTGTTTTCCCTGTACGTTATGAAACACCACCTATTATCAGGGGGTAGAGACGGTATTATATATGCCTGGGAATGGAGTAAAAATATGGATTGTGCTGGTAAAGTAGAGGTATGGTTATATTGTAGCCGCCCTCGGTATGACCTTGAGTTGACTTTGACTTTAAATAAAAACTGTAAGAGGATATAAATAATAATAATAACTAGATCTGCTACTGTCCCATGCAGATATGAAAGCTTTCATATTCATCGTCACGTGACATGGATTATATCAAGTATCTTAAAAGAAAAAAGAACAAAAAATAATTATCAAAATCGGTGAAAAAGTCGCGAAGTTACAAGTCTAAATATAGTGAGAAACATTGCACCCTGGCAACAAAATAATCTGAAAACTAAAGGGAAATAACTGAGAGTTGGATTGCTGTAATCGGAATGACTTTCCGTTCCAGAAGTTTCAGAAAAATGGATCAAGCCGTTTAAAAACGGGACGGATGAGAAGATGAAACGAAAATGGCGGGAAAGAACTAAAAAGGGGCAGGAAAATATCAAAAAAATAAATGAAATAACTTTGAACGGAACTAACATTGTTTGAATCAGATTGACCTTAGCTGTTCGAATATTTAGGTTAAATTTGTAAATTTTGAAAATTAAAGGCATAAATTGTCATGTTAACAACTTTGTCGGCACGTAAAATGTCAAAGGCGAAATACGAAATTTTGAAAATTTTCAAACACCAAAAAATCGATCTTGATCTCGGGCTATCATGAAATGCATTAATTTCAGAAATAAGAGACGCATTGAACATATTACAGACTATTGTGGTTCATTTTCACGTCTGTTCAAGTGGATTTTTCACTGTTTTTCATATTCAATTCCAAATGGAGACCATCAGTTGACCGAAAATCTTTTCTTTTTTTTTTTGCTAAAACTCTTTTTTTTTAATCGGATCAAAATGGGAGTAAGGCACAAAGTCCGGGGTGGCAATGGGCGTATTGACGATTGTGTCCAAATTTCATGGTTTTCGGACAATCGGTGCCGGTGTCGTGGCGATATTCCACTTTTTTCACACTTACTGAAGCCGTAAATGGCGGAAAAAGCCGAACGACAGGAACCGTGTGAAGAACAAACGACCTTAACGAATGCAGGTATCGCCTTGAATTTCTCAGGGCACCTAGGTACCAGCGTGAAAAGTTCCTCGCCGGAATTTGGTAGTCATCGTACCTTTGGTTCCAGCGTGGCGCATGCGCGAAGTCAAGAAATTACGGTCGATTTTGGGATTTTGGGTATATTTCGGAGTAGTTTGGTATGTGACGGTGGATCGGGGACCCGGATTGATCTATTATAATAAGCGTTGAAGAATGAGCAAATTTTCGCTACCGGGGTTGATTTTCTCTGCCCAGGCAACGTTCCGTTGGACCGATTGCCTTCAAATTTGCACGGGATGTACCTTGGGATTCAAGCTATCACATATTAAAAATAGAAGAGTCTGGAATTCCGAGAACGTTGACAATAAATTCGAAACCCACCCCCACCGATCAAAGTTTTTTTTGCTTAAAAAATTGCCGTATTTCATCGAATTTTTATTGTTCTTGATATCTGAGCATTTTCTCCTTTTAATATGTGATAAATATCATCGCGGCGCAGCCAACCGCTAGAAATTCCAGAGATTTGGACCACCGGAAGGATGCCTCAGCAGTCAAAAAAGGCGATTTCGGTTTCTTTGTCGATACATCGTTGCGGTCATTTTAAAAAATTGTCTTTTAAGGATAATGTGTATAGTACTAATACCTATCACATACGGGAGAGGTGATAAAATCTCTTTGCATTTGCAATTTCAAAATTAATTAAAACCAATATTAAATTCCGAAAATCGTTTTTTGCTAAAACTCTTTTTTTTTATGGGATCAAAATGGGAGTAAAGCACAGAGTCCAGGGTGGTAATGGGCGTATTGTGTCCAAATTTCATGGTTTTCGGACAATCGGTGCCGGTTTCGCGGCGAAATTTCACCTTTTTGCCCTTATAGAAGCCAAGAACAAAGGACTTGAACGAATGCAGGTATCACCTTGAAATTTTCAGGGTACCTAGGTACCAGCGTGAAAAGTTTCTCGCCGGAATTTGGTACTCATGGTACCTTTGATTCCAGCGTAGCGCATGTGCGAAGTCAAAACCAGCTAAACTCAAAGCAACCTTGTCGGCACGGAAAACATCAAAGGAGAAATTCGAATTTTTGAAATATTCAAATACCAAACATTCGACCATGAGCCAGGCTATCCTGAAATGTATTAATTTCGGTAATAGGAGACAGATTCTTTAAGCCACGACCAATTGTGGATGTTTTTAAGCCCATTAATGTGGATTTTTCACTATTTTTCATTTTCAATTCAAAATAGCGTCCATCATTTGCCAAAAATCAAAATTCTAATTCTACAATTTATGGGCTTTTCTTCAAGAATTCGGAAAATATAATTCCCTTGTCTGTTAGTAAAATATCAAAAAAGCCTTTTGACATTTCACATTTCAAGATGGTGGCACTTCCGGAATGGGCAACAAACTCCATTTTTTGTGTACGGATCAGTAGTGTCGTAGCTAGTAAAGAAAAAAAAATTCAAGGCAATCTGACCTATATTTCGTCGATTTTTCTGAAAACTTTGATCCTTAATTTCATCAAGGGGAGATAATTTAGCAAATTTCTAATCATATTTTTGAAGTCGCATTGGTAAGATCTATTTACATGCTAAATTTCATGAAAATCGTACAACTATTAAAGAAATGGTCAAATTGGTCATAATTGGTTCGAAATCACTGCGACGAATTTTCGAAATTCGAAAATCTGAATCTGCAGATTTGAAGTAATTGTCTCAAGGTACTCAAAGAAAAATGATTTAGTAAAATAGGTCAAATAGTCACAAAGTTACAGCATTGTAGGTCAAATGCATTCGTTCGTAAAATTCGGTGATTTCGGATTCGTAAAACGTTTTGAAAATATATTTAATCAACACCCACCACCCATTTTTAGGGAGATAGGTAAAAGTTTCATAAAGATCCTATGGTTAGATTCTGAGAAATCCGATTTGTGGATAAAACACACAAAAAAAATAATAATAATAATAATAATCTTAACAGAAACAATAAGCTTTCATATGAAATATGAAAGCTTAATAATGGATTTATTATCTTTACGAACGTTGTTCTATATTTACAGTAATAATACAATAATCGTTGGGTGATTTAGATCCTGATTCGATTATCATACTTGTTTTAACGGTAAGGTTAGAAGGAAAGATGTCACTCGGGTTGGTCCCACCACTCCAGTCAATGAAACTTTGTACTAGACCTATTCCGTCTAACACATTAGCGTCGGCGCTACACTCTACACCCACGGCACGATGGTTAGATCTACTAGTTGTATGGACATGATAACACGGGGCACTTTTGTTTCATTCAAAGTAATCCCCCAAAAAAGGTTTGTGATTCCCTCACATGAACGTACCCGGTCTGATGTTTATAGAAAGAGGTCAACAATCTAAAAATAGAACAGCAACACAACACAGGCTTGATGGGGAGTAGATGTTATTTACTAGGCCTACGGTATAAATATAAATAGATATAAATAGCCACATGGCTTTTACAACACCCCCTTCCTTAACATGAAGACTCCGGATTCAGTTACTCCGGTACTGAGACTTCGAGACGAAGAGGAACTTTGCCGGCTTCGATGGTCTTTACTACTGCATCCGTTTCCCGGACCCGTGCTTGTTGAGCGGCCATAAACATTTTGACTTCCTCTTCGGGATTCCCACAAACTTCCCTCCGTACTTCTACCATGGATTTGTAGGTATATAAGCGCGATTTCCTTGATGCTGCATGGCCATCATCCTCAATGGTTGGCGTCTTCGTCCCCGGAAGGGCCAGCATATTCCAGCGGTCGAGGAGGTAATGGCGGTTAATAGTCGGAGTCCGACCTAGGGGCCCTTCTTCTAGGGTCATGGCAGCATACTCCCACTGAAGAAGACGTTGGTCCGGGATCATGGTTTTTGTTCCTGTCGAGATAGTTAATAAATGTCGGGCGCAAAAATCTCGTCTTGCCGGGGGTAGTAAAGGCATACAGCCCATAGGTAAGATGTCTCGTGCCGGGGAAGCAAGGCTCTGTCTGTGGTTGAGGCAGTAGTGCCTGCCAGATGAGGTTTTCATTGTCTTGATACCATTGGGATAGCCAAGTGGTCGATCTTCCTCTTCTCTGCCAAACAAAAGGACATCTCGAAGATGACTGTAGGATTTGAATGGGGATTAAGTGGCGATGAGGACGATGATGAAGAATCTGACGATGATGAAGAAGAAGACGTTGGCGGTCCTGGTCGTTGTGGCAGCGGTGGTACTAAAGCAGAAAGACTAACGGTCTTCGTAGGCTGTCGGAAAGGTACGGTCCATCGGACAACGGCTTTTATTTGGATGTCATCAATTCCCAACAAGTTGGCTAGCACCAACCGTCGTTCCTCTAACTCTTTTCCACGGAGAACTTCGCCCTCTCCTGTTGGCCTGGGCATCGGAGTTGATAGCAGGGTGAGGAAGCTTCTGCTTAAAGCCTCATTTGATCTAGGCCGTTTCAAGACTTCGGGTGCCAGTTCTCCTTTATAGGCAATTCCTCCTATCTTGGTGGTGAACCAGGCGACACAGCCTTCTTTTCTCATGGTAAGATCCATTAATTGTAGAGCATCTGCTGGCGAATACGTGGATTCAGAAGGATCGTATTGGAGGCTGAGAACAGGCCAAATGCGACCATCTTCCGTTACTACAAGGACGTCCCCGCTTTCTTCCAAACTTTCACCCCGGAATACCTCCCAGGAACGGGCCCATTCTTCCTCATTCTTCAGGGGATCTTTTAGTTCCCTACACCACTGCAACACAAGGTTTCTTGTTTTACATGATAGTCCGCTGGTCCATTTTGGTGCGGCTACAACTCTTTTGTAGACAGCGGGTTCCAGGGCGAACCAAGCTGAGTTGCTTTCAACCAGAAAGTCTTGGGGTAGGTCTTTCAATCTTGCCTGATGTCCCTGTTTGCGGCGTCTTTTAAGATCCGCAACCCTAGTAAATGCATGAAAGCCTCTGCAGAA